AGTTAGGTAATTTGCACAGAAAGACACTTGCAGAATATTTAATTGGAGAAGTAGCATTACTAGTGCCTTCTTTTGGAACGGCAATCATATTAGCTGCTAGCTAGGACCCAATGGGCACCCCTTTCATGCAACGACAGTGGTTTCTGCATCTTATTTCACGCATTACTTTCCCCCTTGAGCTCTTTATCAAAACACTAAACTTTGAGTATCCCAATATGCATTTACGAGGGTAATGAAGCCAGAAAAACCTGAATATATGTGTCGCCCCGTTCTAAAACTGTAGGGCTGGTTTCAGACTGAGCTGAGTTCAAAGATCAAGAAAAAAATGGGATAAAAAGTTAATTTCAAGTTAAATTGTGCAAGTCTGAGCGCTAAGGTAAACTCATCTGAACACAAATTTAAAGTTATAGCGCAGGTTACACTAAACTTCGAAAGCTGATCGTTAGGCATTTAACATGCATCTTCTAGCGAATTAAACACTAAAAAGCCTAAGTCCCAGTTTAGCCTATTTCCAACTTAGAAAATTGGACCAAATCAGGATCTAAATTAAATGCGAGTTGATTTTAGGCTTGCGGCCCCAAAGATTTTCGCATCTTAGCTAACGTACTTTTAGAGGTATGTTATCCGAGAAACACGGATGCGGACATTTCACTAGCGCAGTGTATTATTTTATATGATGCATGTAAAACTGCCAAAAAAACGTACCTTTGGCAGTGGATTTCCTTGCACATTGCAAATCAATTTACACGGATGGTTCTTTTGAATAAGGCGCGGACGAAGATGGAACGTGAATTTGGGAGGGCTCTGGCGCTCCTTGAATGGTTCTGGCTCTCTCACTGGATAAGTTCGCTTTGCCAAATCTGTTGGCTTCGACGTGCTTCGCCGAACACTTGATTCTGAAAAACATCGATTCAACAAAGAACCGATACTGACTTTTGGTTATTGAGTTGCATTCCCTCGGCGTAAAGCTTATCTACCAGGAACAAATCAACAGCTCAGTATCTAAATGAAACTGACTAGGAATGACCTCAAATAAGGTATTATGCAATTGCACTAAGGCTGCTGTGAATTGCCATCTCCGTTTAGGTGCAAAATATTCGCTTACTAAAAAGTGTCTCCTACTTAAAATTGAGATTTCATGTCTTCTGTTTTGAGGGCCTAAAAGTTACCAAATCAGCTAAGAGTCCATCAAGATCTGACATAAGAAATGCATCTGAAATTTGATGAGAAATAATTACTGCTGTT